AGAACATCGAAGTCATCAAGGCTGGCTTTCGACCAAAAGAGGTCAGATATCAATCTTGCTGAAGTGCCCATCAGTAAGTTGAGGACCGCTCGGAGATAGAGTGGATAGAGTGGGGTAGTAGGTTCTCCTCGCTAAATAGCTGGGTGGGAAGCTCCTACTTCAGGGCACTCAACCCGGGAGGGGGTATGGGGGGGTTAGGTTCCCCCTTCATTTTGATAGATATTTAATGATTCATTCCCAAACTCAAATTCATTCATTCCCATTCATTCCCACTTCTTGTTTTATATTGTTTACGACGACACAATTCCACGCAATAACAGTGATGGGGTGAGGTTTTAGATATTTTTCGTTAATTCAAGGCTCACATAAATTATGTAGCAACAGTGTATATATTATTTAATTTTCTCAAAATGATACACTTCTCCTTCCATAACAGTTTCAAGAAACAAATCTGTCTGCATGAAGTGAATTCCTTCAATCAACTATGGCATTTAATGTTTTACGAAGTTTATTATAGATTTATGAAAATGAAAATTTTGCGTAAGCTTGTATTTCACTAGAATGTAGTTTCTTTCTCTAGACTCCTTTCCACAGTGATAAGTTGATGGATGGCAGTTCACCGCAATTTTCCAAAGGATTACTGAAATAAAAAAACTAATGAATGTGTTATAAATATTTTGATATCAATATCTGTAAATCATAGCAACACAACGAGTAAGAACATAGCCGGGACAAACGGGACATTGATTTCTTGTTATAGTACAGAAATTGAAAAAGGTAGGTATACCACAAGTGAGTGTGCTGAGTTTAAACTTTTAATCATTGGAATTCACATATGATACTGAATATGTATGACGTTAATGCATGATACTGAATCAAAATTTTTGCAAATGATAGACACTTTTCTACAAGAAGGAAATCTAATTTCATTCTTCCTAAACAAAGGCCGACAATCCTAGAAATGGATCCACACTATGCGGTTAGTGAAGTCTGAACTTGAAATATATTAAAATATCGTGTTTTGAAAATGCTCCGCAATAAGTGATTTTTCTTTTAGTTTTCAGATGTAAGTACGTTGTTTATAATTTATGAGCAAATGGTCTCATATATACCTACATACGTAAATTATTGTACTTCAGATCAGTTGATAATAATGACTGTTTTTTTTGATTACGTTTTTTCAATTCTTTCTTATTTTTGTTGAAAACTTTTTGACCTGAGCTTTGCAACTGTATAGATTCTGAGATTCAACGAAGTCTCTCTATATGTCTAGTTTTTAACTTTTATGTATTTCATTTAAGTATTTTTTCAATTTAAAAATTTCAATGATCAATATGATATGATGATATCAATTAGACAGATATTCAACGGTCAGAGTTGTTGGAGACTCAAAATGTGACTTAAAATGTGACTAACACCAAATCTAAGTATTGATATAGATACGTTAATGATATCCTTGCATGTATTACAGAAACGAACAGACAATTGACTCAGTTCTTGAATTTCATCAATTTTCTCCACCCTTCTATCACATTTATCATGGAGATGGAAATTTTTTGAAATTTACAATAACGAAAGTTAACAATAAACATGATTTTTCAATTTATCGTAATCCAGTACATACAGATATCATAATTCATAATTCGTACACTCACCCATATCATCATAAGGTAGCAGCTTTCAACAGTATGATCCACAGACTGATAAATGTTTCCTTGTCAGATGCAAATTCCAATAAAGAACTGAACAATGATAACGATAGCAATCTAATACATTTTCTATTATCAAAATAGTTACACAGCCAAACTTTGAATGATGAATAACAATGGAGTAAGAATTGCTTTCAAAACCAACAACAACTTAGGCATGCACATTACGAGTAACAAAGGTAAAAGTTCAGTTTCAGAAAAATCTGGAGTGTATAAATTATCACGTGTTTCATGTTCGATGTTTTATATAGGTCAAACTGGAAGAACGTGCAAACCCGCATAAAAGAACACAGAAATATTTTCCACAATGGAAAAATAAATTCCGCATATGCCACTCCTTTAATCACAGAGGGACATGAGTTCAACCATGGATTCAAGCCCCTCCACTTCCAAAAAAAAGGTTTGAAACTTAAACAGTTGAAGAGTTTGGAAATGAACCAATTCAAAAACTCTCAATATCTCATGAACGATCAAACTGAACTGAATAATTCGTCATTATTGAATCTGTTTGATTCCAGGTAAGAAAATTTAAGTATAATTATGGTACTTTCAGAAATTGAATTCATTTATATAGTTATTGAAAATATACCTGACTTCTTCAGGTAGATTTATTCATTGGGAAGTAGGAATACAAGTAGTTTTCATGTTAGATACTAAAATAATTGTAACTTAGAAGTAGCTTACTTTTTTATGTTTAAGAAAGCTATCGCGAAACATGTGTCGCGGTTCTTGTTAAATCCTTTACAGTGAAAATCATACAATAAACTGTATCAACGAGAATCAGAGTCGATACTGAAAACCAACATTTGAAGGATACAAATTATTGAATAATTGATAACAACTCGTCAAGTATATACTTAACGAGTATATTCTGTGACATTTCATATCCTAAATTTTCAATATTATTATATTCAATGCTGGGATACCTTTTACAAGTTGAGATTTCCCCAAGCTTTGCTTGTGTGGATGCCTTTTGCATTATCTGAAATTCGATAATTTTTCGCATTTTTTCGATATAAGAGACTGGAGTGTTATTTGTTGACCGTTTATTTTTGAGATATATATGAGTCAAAATAGTGATTTGGAACAGCTGTAAGTTGTCTGAAAAAAGTGATTTTCACGATACTATCAGCAATCCAAAGAACCCATCTGTATTTATGCGATCTAACACATCATACGTCTTTCAAAGGATTAGCCTGATAAAAACATGGTCATTCTCACCCTACAAATTCGATTGAAACGCTATTTTGTTGGCTCTTGTTTGCATAAATAATGAAACTCCGTCAATATTCCACAATGAAAAACGAATGCACGAGAACAGAACTTGAGTTAATAGATATTCAGGAAGAATCAATATTGTGGAAAGTATAACTACTACTTACCCTTGTGATATCCGTACGAATCCTTTCCGTTGCATATACTTTATATTACTATTGTCACACATCAATCTGGATATACTAGCTTTGCGTATTTCTTTCAGTTGTTCTCTAGTGAATTGGTCATTTTCGAACCAGAAACGGTCAGCAACTCGAGTTCTGTAAAATTGCTTCAGGATAATGCAATGAAATGTAGGGCCAGCTAAAGCTCCAGGAATATCCGTTTCCAGCGATCCTCCAACTATCAAATCAACATCATCTGGGTGTTCATAATGTTTTTCCAGTAATGATACGTGCTACAAAAATAATACAAACGTAAATGGTGAGTTTTTATACGTTTATTAATCAGGTTGCAAAAATTATTATCTACTCTAGTTCCCATGTACTTTTTTTTGTAACATTTTTCAGCCCTGTCCAAAAATTATGACCAAGGTGTCATTCGATTCGTATTTTTGTCTAGAAAAAAGATTTAAAAAGATCAATGAATTTGCGTAAAAAAAGTCCCGACTCCCGAAACTGTATCTCGATTATTTATAATTTTTACAAAGCCCTGAAAATAGAGCCAAAAGCGGGTAGTCTGGCTTCCGCGCGCCTTTCGATAATTAGTATTTCATTGTTAATATTTTCATCGTGACGTAGGTATATGATGCTGAGACGAAAGAGGAAGCAGATGTTGAATTGAAAAAAAGAAAATCAAAGATTTTTGCGTGTCAAAAATACACTGATTAGATATTCATAATGAATTGTTTCATCATGACGAATCAAAAGAAAGGGGAAGTGAAGTTGGATATTAAAACATTTGAAATGTTATAAAGTGATATTTTATATTTTTATCTCCTTCGTATTTTTCAGATTTTTCATATTTCTATATTTATCATCATTTTTGTTATTTGTATCATTCCAGGCCTCATTTTGATTACTGTTCCAGTTTTCTATATCTCTTGGACGAAAACGACAAACAAAAGTTGACAAAATCAAAAAATCGAGGAAAGCAAATAATCTTGCTATGTAATAGACATACCCACATTCAGATTAAATTAAGTACCCTGAATTGGTATAGTGTAACGCAAAGACTATTTTATATGTCAATGATGTTCATTTATAAAATCACAAAAAATGTATTATCGAGTTACTTCGATTCTTTTATTACCAATAATAATCCTATTCATCCTCATGATACAAAAAACTGTTAATGAATTTCATGTAGCTAGAACCAAAACTAAAAATTCTATGAAACCATTATTTCTCAGGGGACTGAAAGATTTCAACGAACTTCCTCAAAACATTAAATGCTCGGTCACTATTGATAGTTTCAAAAATCAGCTGGAAAAACAGATAAGGTTACCGAATTTTCAATTTATTCTTCGTTCTTTTAACTTCCTTTTCTTTTTGGCAGAAAGAATACTTTCAAATTCCAACAGACACATTTTTATGATTACTTTTATACACTTATTTTTAAGAATAATGATTTGTCAATAACCCTCTACCAGTA